TCCGGCACCTCTAGGCCGCCACCTATGCTGCCTCCTCTGTCACAGAAACATTTCCTCTCCCCTCTAGCAGTTAAATGTTCCCCAGGAGAAACCCCACTCCCCTGAAGTCTGGTGTAAGCTGAGACTTCACATTTGGCAGGCCCAACTTTTAACAAGACAAAACATATTTTTGCACACATGTTACACGATTTGCCCAAAGTCACCCAGCAGACTAGTGGAGAAGCCATGGAAAGAACCCAGGTCTTCTGTGTTGCAGGCCAGTGCTCTTTCCACTAGCTCAGACTGCAACTATCTAACTATGTAGGCATTTCTACCATGCCCATCACATTGCTCTATAGTACAACATCTTTTGTAATTAAATTTAATTGACAAGCCAAAACTGCAGGGTGGATCTTCCTCTCTAAATTAGCTGATCGTGCCCCACACTCTAAAATCAGACAGTATTCTTAGGGGATCATTAAAATATGCACCTCACTTAAAAGAGCTAAAGGCTGGTTTGGAAAACACCACATCTATGACTTTGGACAGTATGACAGCCAATGGATTCCAATAGCTTTGCCATCATCTTCCACAGTTTATTATCACTCAGTTACAGCTGTGCTCTACCTCCTCTGGCTCCTTCCATCCTTGCCTGTAATGGGGCAAATTCTGCTCTCAACTACAGAAATGCAACCAATCCCATTAACTCCAGTGAGTCTGCATCAATGCCACCGAGAGTAGAATGTGGCCCTTTGTCACTCCCATTCAGCGCCCAAGTAAGGATAAAATGCGGTGACATTCGCACAGCAGATCTTGACTCCAATATTGTGCCACCAGAACGTGTCCATTTTTGCAGGCGTTCCCAGAACAGGTGAGCTGAGATTTGCAATGAGGCTCGCAGCACGACTGTGCTCTTTACTGCTCAACTGTGCTGCAGGTGCCTGGGTTCATGTAGCATTGGCACCACTAAGGAGCTTGCAATGCTCCACAAATATCACAGATGCCATCATACCAGTCACCACTTCTTGTTGATACCCATTGTGCATGCTTCAGACTTCTATGTGGCCACATCTCACGCCTGCACAGAAACAGCATTTAGCTCCTTATAAGTGCTGGACTGGCAGCCCTGGAGACTAAAGGTCTGCATTTAATAAAGAGCAGGTACAGCACAGGCAACTACAGAGGTGCAGATTTCCCCGCACTACCCCAGCCAATGTCTCTCCACCCTGGCCTGTAGCTGGGACAGAGGCTAATTCTATATGCTAGTCTATCCATTGCCTCTCTGCTGAGAGTGCTGGCTAGGAATAGTAGTTGCAGTGTGAGTGTTTGTGATGTAGACACTTATCCTCTAGGAACTAGACCATAGGGTTGCCAACTTTCTAATTGTACAAAACCTAACACCCTTGCTCCGCCCCCACCCCACCCCTTCTCTGAGGCCCCGCCCCCACTCCCTCCAGTCCCCCTCCCTCTGTTGCTTGCTCTCCCCCACTCTCACTCACTTTCACTGGGCTGGGGCAGGGGGTTGGGTTACGGGAGGGGGTGAGGGCTCCGGCTGGAGGTGTGGGCTCTGAGGTGCACGAGAGGACTCCAGACTGGAGCCAAGGCGCTTGGAGCATGGGAGCGGGCTCAGGCAGGGGGTTGGGGTGCAGGAGGGGGGACAGGCTCCAGTTGGGGGTGTGGGCACTGGGGTGGGGCCAGGGATGAGGGGTTTGGGATGCAGGAGAGAGCTCCAGGCTAGGGCCAAGGGGTTTGGAGTGTGGGAAGGGGTTCTGACCTGGGGCAGGGGGTTGGGATGAGGGTGGGAGTTCAGGGTGCGGGCTCCAGGAAGGAGTTTGGGTGAAGGAGGGGGCTCAGGGCTGGGTCAGGGCATTGGGATGCGGGGTCTGGGAAGGAGTTAAGGTGCGGGAGGGGGTTCCGACCTGGGGCAGGGGCTTTGAGGTGTGGGCTCTAGCAGGCGGCGCTTACCTCAGGTTGCTCCCAGTCGGCGGCGCAGAGGGGTTAAGGCAGGCTCTCTGCCTGCCCTGGCTCCGTGCTGCTCCCAGAAGCAGCCAGCATGTCCAGCCCCTAGGCAGAGGTGCAGCCGGGGGCTCTGCATGGTGTGTGCTGACCACGCCCACAGGCGCCACCACCGCAGCTCCCATTGGCCAGGAACCATAGCCAATGGGAGATGCAGAGCCAGCGCTCGGGGCGGGGCAGCACGTGGAGTCTACCTGGCCTCTACGCCTAGGGGCCGCAGGGACATGCCAGCCACTTCCGGGAGCTGCGTGGAGCCAGGGCAGGCAGGGAGCCTGCCTTAGCCCCACTGCACTGCCGACCGGACTTTTAACAGCCCGGTCAGCAATGCTGATCGGAACTGTCAGGGTCCCTTTTCAACCAGGCATTCTGGTCAAAAACCAGATGCCTGGCGACCCTACTAGACCAAGAGCATCAAACTCATTTCACATTGGCTAGAGAACAGATGGTTTTTGTGTGTTTTTTAAATTTATGGATGTTTAGCATATGAACATATGCAACTGTAGATTGCCTGGCAGAAAAGAAGCTACTTAAAGGCACCATAAATCGACCGTAACATGATGCAATTTAACAGCTTTCTTTGAGGATTCCCCCACCCCCTCATCTTAACTTTATTCTTTATAAAAAACACAACTTTAAATATAAACTCTGGCTAGTCTTAGCTACAGGCAGTTTGTGACATCTGTTGCTAATACACTCATCTGCAGTGTATACATGGTTCAGGGCATGATGAAGGGAAGAGAATATTGAATGAGACACTCAATAAGTAGACTCAAATATTTAGTCTGCTAAACTTGACAAAAATCTGCACCATAGCAGCATGATAGCTTGGCTAATGAAGCCTCACTGAACCCAAAGCGTCTCAGACATACCTAAACGATACACAGACATACACATATACATAGATAAAATATATATATAACATATACACACACACTTGTATTTGCGATTGGTCTACACTGGGGTTCAAACTGAATTGGGAACCACATCTCAACTCTCTTTAAGCATAACTCCAACCAACAGGTTTCTAACATGATTCAGCTTGCCAAGTTATGGATGTTAGGAACCTCCTTGAGCTAGAATACAGTTCACGTTGTGTTAAAAAGCCAGTAAAGAACAAGCCTGGGACAATCCTGAAAAAAAGCTATTCATAGTGCAAACCAAAATTCGGTGTGACTCATAGAATCGTAGGACTGAGAGGTCCTGCAGGACAAAGCATTATCTAGACCATCATGTCCTGGTCTAAGCCAAGCACCCTCCATTTAGGACTCCCAAGCTCTCTCCACTAGCTCCTTTTATATGCACGACAAAGAGCATGACAAACATATCAAAGGGCTCCAAGAAGTTGACCTCCATTATGGAGGATATGAGTCCCTCCCTGGTGAGCTCGACATCCACAATTTGTTTCTTCTGGCAGTGTGTTGACACCATGCTAGCGTAACTCTGTCCCCAAAAGGACTCTGCAATGCCTCCCATTACATCCCTCCCCAAGAAAAGTCCCTGATAGCTTCCCACCTAGTGTCATTTGAGCTCATTAATGATGGTGCCCAAATCTCCCCTCCTCTATGACCTCCAACGCACCAGTCACCTATTAACCACCCTACCTCTTCTCCATCCCAACTACCTTCCTAGTCCTGGCTGGTCAAAAAATTTTCTGTCACAACTGTTTTTGACAGAAATTTAGGTTTTCAACTAAACATGGGGATGTTTTTGCAAAAAGATATCAGCTTTTCACACACAAAAAATGATTTTTCATTGATAACCTACATGCCCAAAAGCCAAAATATTTTTGGGCCAAAAACTAAAATGGTTTTTCATTCTCAAATGCCACTGTGCTGCCTCTAAGGAGTTGTAGTTCAGGTGCCTCATTCTCCCATTTTCCTCTGTTGGCCAGGCTCCTCAGCTGTACTACATAGCCCATGATGCACTGTAGCCATGTGATTGCCATGATGCATGGCCTCCTCTCACCAAGAGAGGAGATAGTCTGACCAGGGAGCCATGCCCACAGAAGAGAGTGGGAGCATGAGGTATTCAAACTATAGCTCTCACAAGTAGGGTCCTGTGTAAATCACAATTTCACAGAGAGCACAGAAATCAAGAAAATGCCCCCAAACTGTAACCTTTTAACTATTTTTAAAGGAAAATGTCTACAACAAATTACCAAGTCAGTTTTAAGACAGCATGAATTTTATATATAACATTAGTCAAAATTGACTAAACGTTACTTGTAAAGTTCATCCCATCCTTGAAATTGACAAAATTTACTTGTAAAATTCATTCCCTATCAACACCATAAAATTCAATACTTTGCCATTTACAGTTGCAAATTTTCTTTTAAAAAAATCATGATTTACACAGGGCTCTACTCATGAAGCTGCAAAGCAGCATTTCTGAACCAAAATAATTTGATTTTCTCTTTTTTTGGGGGGGGGGCATGAAATACACATTTTTCATCAGGTAAAAAAAACCAACAACCCTCATTTTCTGACCAGCTCTATTTCCTACCCCTGAGATTCTCCTGCAAGCTCAATATATTCTAGGATATACTTGACCTCCATTGTAGAGCGAAAGGAAATCAGTGGGTCTAGTCACATGAGTTCGCACTTACCAGCATGAATGAAGTTGGCACAATCAGGCCCTAGTTATGGGGCCACATTTTTTTTTAAAGAAACCTGGCATGTTTGCATAGAAATCCATGCTCATCTGTGGCCTATTTCTGCAAGGGCAGTTAGTGTCATTGCCCATGCAAATCAAAGGGCACCAAACAGGATGACAGAGGAAAGAGGAGAGTGACATGAACCTGGTGGAGAAGTGGTTAGTGGGGGGGCAGCATTCTAGCCAGCGGTGGAGATGAGGTGGATTTACAAACCTGGAGCTAACCCCACTAGGCAATTCTCTCACTTTTCCTAACAGTGAGCAAGGCCAGTAAGGTCACACTAATACTAATGAAATGATCAATCACCAGCATGGAGCACTGCACCCTGTGCACGGCCCATTGCTCTTCTTACCTATCGTAGGCATCCCTAAATTCTGGTAGGGGCATTCCAAGCTGCCTCCTTGAGTTCTTCCAAAAATAGCGGAGTAAATGGCTATGACCATGTTTTTCTGACAGCTCAGTCTCAGCTTGTCGTCTTCACAGGCTACTTTACTCTTGTACTCATCTGGAAAGAAACAGAACGTCTCGTTAGTCAGCTGATTCACAGCAATGTGCAAACAGAGAGCAGGGAAAAAAAGTAAGCCAACCGTGAAGAGATTCCTTCCCCCTCAAGCATACGTTGGTTGATTCAGTGGGGTCTGCTGGTTCGTGGCCAGAGATTGACATGGACTTAGAGATCAGAAGGATCCCCTCCCAATGACCATATTTGCTATGATAACGAAGAGGATAATTTGCATTTAGTATAGCCCTTTCCACCAGGAATTATCAAAGCTTTTACAAACATTAATTAATATAGCCTCGTCACACCTGTGAGAGGTGAGAGCGACATTGGATCAAATATAACTAAAGAGAGAGAGACTGGGAAGGGGGAGGAAACAGAGGGAAATTTTCCATTTCCCATTTGCCAGATAAGGAAATTGATTCACAGAGGTTAAATGGCTTGTCTGTGACCAGGCAGAAAGGCTGTGGCAGGGACACGGAAAGAAGCCAGGTCTCCTGTTCCTTAACCACAAGGCCATCTGTCAACCCCCACATGTATGTCCCGCCCATTAACGCAGCTGGAATGTGAACTGGGCGCACTGTGGTCAGCAGGCAACAGCAGCTCCGCTGGCGATGAACAGGAGTCTTCCCCTAGTGAGTCACTAGGAGCTGTGCTAAGCTTGTTTTATGCTGGGAGTTGCTCTTGCCTATCAGACAAACAGATACACAAAGTTGCTCTCAAATCTGATTTCAAACAGACAGCCGGACGTCACAGGACGTCGTCCTGCTCTTGCAAAGCTGATGCTGGCGGAACAAACCCTGACTTTGCACACATCAAAAAGAGACTAGGGAAGTTCAGTCACAGGAGACCATGTGTCCTGAACTTCTCTTTATTATATTATCATCTGTATGACTGGAGCACACAGAGGCCACAACTTAGACCAGGCCCCCATCCTGTTAGGCACTCTACAAACACTTAGTAAGCAACAGTCCCTGTCCTGAGGAGCCTATAGTCTAAATAGGCATGGGTGGGGGGGAGGGAACAGAGGCATGGAGAGGTGACATGCCAAAGGTCACACCACCAGGAAGTGTCCACAATGGCTTCATATAAATATAGGAAAGGACTAGACTAGCACAGGCTGCATGGGTGGATGGGGATGAATGTGCCTTATGTTTTTTCTCTCTCATGCACCTGCTCAGGGGACAGTCACAATCTGGCCCTAAACCTACTCAAACTGTTACAGTATGTGTACGACTCAGTCTAAATGCAAGCATTCGTACTGGTGGGTTTCATGTTTCCCCCTGAAAAATTAAATGTGCTTAAATGGCAGAGGAAAGGTGGCAGTGATATTCAGCAAATGGTTTACTTGATTCTAATCCCCAGTGCAGTCATTTGTAGGGGCAACTGAGATTTGCAATGATTAAGATATTTGCTAAGGATAATATACCCTTTATTGCTGGTGTGTTTTCAGAGACATTGGATCAAATATAACTAAAGAGAGAGAGACTGGGAAGGGGGAGGAAACAGCTGCAGGCTTTTCTAGACACAGTTCAAAGATCTTTATACAAGGTGATTGTAACATAGATTGAACAATTGCGGAAAAGTAGCAATAAACATTTCTAACGGAAAAATTGGCCCTTGCAAATTGTAGAGTAACCAACAAGATTTCCTGTAATTAGACAATGTGTACATGGATGTTAATTCATTGGACTGTAGCAAATTACTCAGAAGGGATCAATAGAACATGGACATTTCCACATATGGCCAATAATAATTTTATGAGTGATTGTAACTGGGAAGATCAAAAGTTAACATTATTGGTCTCAGTCTCAGAAAAATCTCAGTGCTGAAAGCTCTCAAATAGATTTAGCACTTACAGTGTGTGATGAGTGGGTGTTTATTCCAGAGGTGTATTTAGCATGCAACTATTTTTAAAAATGACTTACTTGAAAAACTTATGTAACATTATTGTTTAAAAAAAACAAATGACCATATGGGAGAGTGTTGGGAGCAATCTTTGGGGTGTATATTTGCTGAACCTATTTTACAGTTCAAAGAGCTGAGAAGACATGGCATCAGAAATCCATATTCATCCCAAAGTTATAAAGCATTCAGATCACAGACACAGAGAAGTTAGAAATGGAAAAGATTTAGTAGGTGACCTTTCCCATCTCCTTGCCACTGCAGGATTATTTCCTACAGAACATTCTCAAGAACACTGTCTTGTTCAGTTTCAAATGACTGAATTAATAAGACTACTTGCAAGATGCTACTCCAGATTTTAATTGCTTTCACTCTTTGGCGACTTCTCTTCAGCCTAAATTTTCCTTTGCTCAATTTCATTCCATCTCATCACACCCTACAGAATAAACTCTCCCTACTTTGTAGCTTATACCTTTCTACTACTTCCTGTTACTTCGACATCATCACCCCTGCCAGCCTCACAGTGTCGTTTGAACAAGATGCACATTTATTTAGTTCTCTTCGCATCTTTCTATGTGCCTCTCTTTGTCTTTAAATAGGAAGTCCTCACCAATTTGAAGTCTTGGTGTTCCTCCAATCAGTGCCCAGGGGAGGCCCCACTGATGTAGCTTCAAGTTTCATGGTCTCTCCACTTGGGTACTGTCCTGAGTTCTCTGCCTGGTGGCCCCCATCTGCAACCCTTCTTTTAAATCTTTGACCTGTGCTTCCATTTGTGTTTTAGCATGTTTTTGTTCCAACTAATGACTTGTTCTCTGGGTCCTGTGTTCCCTCCTGCACCTGAGGGGGAGGTCCATTAGTGTGGTGGGCTCCACCCACTGCCTCCTAGAATTCAAATCAAATTCAAATGAGGGAAGGGATAGCTCAGTGGTTTGAGCATTGGCCTGCTAAACCCAGGGTTGTGAATTCAATCCTTGAGGGGGCCACTTAGGGATCTGGGGCAAAATCAGTACTTGGTCCTGCTAGTGAAGGCAGGGGGCTGGACTTGATGACCTTTCAGGGTCCCTTCCAGTTCTACAAGATAGGTATAAATCACCCTGATACATGCTGACCTGAGTTTGTCTGGGCTGCATCCATCAATTCCTTGAACTCCTTCATGGAGCTGTGGACATTGTCCACAATATTCTGCTCAGTGCTTCGAGTTCCCTCATTTCGTACCTAGGATCTTTACCCCATTCCAGTCTATTCATTTGTTTTCCTCCATACTCGGCTAAGTCTTCAATGCTGTAGCCCCTCCCTTATCTGAGGGGTGGGCCTTCAGTTGCTTGGTGGGCTCTGCCCATCATTTCAGGATTTAATAGGCCAGCACGCATCCAGTAATAGTTCCTCTGGGAGGCATCAACTGACTCCCTGGACTCCTTCTTGAGGCAGTGGACATTGTCCAGGGTGCTCTGCTGCATGTCCCCCACTGGATCCCTTGTTCTGAGCCTGTGACCTACACTTACTTCCCTGTTTTTCATTCCATAATCAGTTAAAAGTAGAGGTCTAGGTTTAGGGGGGGTTGTTGTTGTGGTGGGCTCCACCCACCACCCTAGATTGTTAATAAGCCAGCACATTTCACAAACACTGAAATACACAATGAAAAATTCAGAAATTTTTTTGATTAATTTTTTTATTTTTAACTGCACTGAGTGGAGATTTAAAGACTAACATGTGCTAACCTGATGCCTGGCTGTAAGTAGTTATCTGTTCAGAAAGTCATCTGACTGCCCATGGCTGACCCATGCCACCTGACTCGAGCGTGCAGGGCTTAGGCTAAGGGTCTGTTTAATTGTGATGTAGACGTTCGGGCTCAGCCTTCAGCCTGAGCTCTGCGACCCTCCCACCTCTCCGGGTCCTACAGCCCAGGCTCCAGCCTGAGCCCAAACATCTACATCGCAACTAAACAGCCCCTTAACCCGAATTCCACAAGCCTAAATCAGCTGGCATGGGCCCGCCGTGGGTTTTTAACTGCAGTGTAGCTATTCCCTAAAGGTCTTAACATTACATCTAATAAGACAATATATTTACTTATAGAGCAAAAATGTTGCCAGTTTCAAAAGGCATCCTGCAAACTCATCCACCGATAATTTCTGGAGGTTTGAAACTCTTCTGACAAGTGGAAAGATTGTTCTTTATAGATGACCCTGTCGGATTCCTTTTAAATTATCCCTGTGATGCATCCAGCCAATTTGCAGCATTTAAAAGGAGACTTTCCCGCTTGTCACTTCCATTAGACTAAAGCAGTTGTCTTGTTATATTCTGCTTTGAAAAGGCTGGCAGTGTTGCAAATTAACTGTTACCTTTCATTTTCAAAGCCAGGCTCAGATGTGCTGGGTTGGACTTTACTGTCAGACAAACAAAGCTATAGGGTGATCTAAAGGGTGAAAGAGAAGGGTATTGAAATGTAGACACTCTATTGTGAGATGAGGTCTACATTTAACACTTGGAGCCGGGGACAACTAAATTCCAATTCCAGCTCTTCATTGGCCCTATTTTTTTTCTCTCATACACTGATGTACATCAGGAGTAACTCCACTTTAAATAAACTGGTATAAAACTTGTTTGTGTAAACTGAACTCTGTCCTTTAGTTTCCCCATTTGAAAAATATGTAACCATACTTACCCTGCTCCCACAGATGTTAGGAGAAGGAATTAGTAGTAGTTAATCAACCTAATCCAGTTCCGATTTATTCTGTAGTCACGGGGGTTGCCTAGGGCATAAGTCAGGGGGAAATTGGGCCCAGTACTTTTAATTTTATAAATCCTGTGTGTATGTGTGGCAGGGCACTGCAGGGGAAGCCCTAATCAGAGGAAATGGGTTGGGATTGGGCCACTAGCTAGGACTGGCCTGGAAACTGGCCACACCTGCCAGCCTCGTTAACAGGGGCTAAACGCTTGGGAGGAAGTGAGCCTGAGAGGAGGTTGTAGACCAGAAGGAGAGAATAAGCTCAGAAGGAGCTAGCTACTCGATTGCCACTAAGGCCTGTGCTAGGCCTAAGCTGTAAATAGTTGGAGCTTGGTGGTGGGGACCGGACACAGGAATAAAGAGCACGGGTGTTGCA